GGGATGGCAGATTAAAGTCCCCCAGGACCATAAGCCTGGGGAACTCCACCACCAACCCCGAGATGGCCTCCAGCAGCTCAGGCAGGGAGGTTGCTACGCAGCAGGGAGGCTGGGACAGAAGCAAAACTCCCAACTGATCCCACAAGCCCATCTTCAGGAACAGGGTCTCACAACCAGCAACTTGTGGAGCAGAGCCCCTGAAGGCCAGTAGAGATTCCCAGATGACAACTGCCACACCCCCTCTGCTACCCTGGGGTCTCAGCTGATGCCAAACCTTAAACCTGGCTGGACACATTTCTGAAAGGGGGACACCCGCTTCTGGTGTCAGCCAGGGCTCGGTAATGCATGCCACGTCAGCTTGCTCTTCCCCAGTAAGATCATGAATAACGGGGGCCTTACTATTGACTGACTTGGCATTCAGCAGCAGCAGCCGAAAGCCTGAGCCTCTGCAGGTCTGCTGACCAGGGTCTGGGCTTGAGTGCGGAGGGCCGGAACACAGCACCAGTATTACACATTGGGGGTGCCTTCCCCTGAAATAGCCTGCCCTCTGGCTCCCGTCATAATGTCCCATGCCCATCACCATTTGAATACCCTTGCCTGCCCTCCATCGCCCAAGGTGATCTTCCACCCACCAACCTGGCCTCCAGTCTAAGGGGCCTGCCATCTCATAAGCCATTCAACCCAACAGGGATTATGGGGTGGTAATGGGCCCCCATGGCACTTCAGCTACTCAGCTCTCAGCACCAACAGGGGCTTAGTCACCCCAACTTCCCCTTCCCTTACAACACTCCCTCTCTCAGCTGGTCTCTCTCACTAGCCAGTGAAAAGAGGAGCCATATCCACTCCCAACCCCCTCCCACCTCACACATTCATCTAGCCTTTGGCCTCCAGCTCCGTCGTAACCAGCCCAGCCTCGGCCTCGCTGCAACTGTTCTCATCACTGCCGTGCTGCCGCTCTCACTGTCGCCACCAAAACTTGCAGTGCTGGGTGTCAGCCTCGGCTCCGCAGCCACTCTCAGGTAGCTGGGCCAACTCTTGCCACCATCGTTGCCACTCTGGGTCCAGGGATCACTCCCAGCCCAAAAGGTGCAGCCTAGGTACCACCACCAGCACTCTCCCACCACCACAGCCATTGTCCCCGTGTCCAAGCGCTGCCTGCTGCCGAGCACACCCACAGATTCTCCTGGCTGTCCTCGGCCCCGCTGCCGCCACAGCAACTCTCCTCTCCACCGTAATGGCTGGCACAGGAGTCCTCTACACATACCCCCAGTTGTGACTGGGCCAACTTACGACAGCAGTTCCAGTTACCATCATTAGATGAATCCCGTGTGGTTGCAACAACCCACGATCACGTGATTGCCATTTGTGACCTCCTGCCGGCTTCCCCACTGGCTTTATTGGAAGCCAGCAGTGAAAGTCGCAAACGGGGATCACGTGACCATAGGATGCTGCAATGTTGTAATTGTGAACCTGTTGCTGTGCCCAAATTGCAATCATGTGACTGTGGAGACACTGTGATGGCCACAACTATGAGGATCTGTCAGAAGTACCCCTCATTCAGCGACGTCGTAACTTCAGTCACTGAACAAGTGCACATTAAACAAGGACTACCTGCACTGCAATTGTCTGAACGCATCCAGCCCAGATATTTTAGCCCTAAGCTAATATCCAGATAAGCATGTAAGCAAGCAAGCTTACCTACAGCCACCTGCCTATGAATTTCCAATTTGGGGTTGTAGTCAAATTTTAATTTCTAGCTAAATTAAAAGGGAGCTTTTTCTCAGGTGAAGGAAAGGAGGAGGAACTCCTCCTGTCCCCACACCCTTAGGGTTGGACGCCCAAACGAAGAGCAACTTCAACGAGCTGCTACCGTCTCTGGACCGCAAAAATGCGCACGACCGCTAGATGGCTCCCACGAGGCATCTAGGACCCGGCTGCCACCGAGCGGCCGCGTGGACTTTTGCAGCCGCGATGCGGCGGGAGCCCTTCCACTTCCCCAAGAAGGGGGGCTTCTTCGCGTGCGCTGTTATTTTGCCGGAAGGGCAGCGCCAGGCAGCAGGTCTCCCAACGGGGCAGCCCCAGGCCACGCGCCGCTCCCCGAAACGGAAGGCCGGGGCGCCACGTGACGGAAAGACCGGTCCGAGGCGGGCTTTGGAGGCGGAAGTTGCGATGGTCGGAGAGCCGAGGCTGCGGGCTCCGGGCCCGCCTTGGCGGCGCTGAGGAAGCCGGGGCTCTGCGCAGCGGCCGCCATGGCAGTCCCGGGGGGCGCGCGGGCGGCT